GGTAAACTCGTCTTTCAGTGCCTGTCACTTGTCCTGTGTTTAATTCCTCCAAATCTGCAGGAGTCTGTGTGTTCACGGCCCTATTTTTTTTTTCAAATGTATGTTTTCACGGCAGCAATCATAAATCATGGTCTGCTCTGACCCATAAGCGCCTGTCACACTTGGTCTCGCCGCACTGTTAGACAAGTGTTTACACTAGCCATGCTGTCTGAATGGGCTTTCTTTTCCTCTTACAAACGTGGGCCAGTGATTTCAGCTGACAGATTTACGCTAGTCTTTTCATCGCGGTCCAACCTTCAGAGCACGTAAGTCGAGCCGTGTTTGACCTGCAGATCTTAAAACAAACATCAATTAGACGACAGCGGAGAGAAGTGATGTCTCATTTCATCACATCACAGTGCAGCGTTCTGTCACTTACAGCATCTGTCTGTTAACATTCTCCCTGCTGCACCACATCAATATGAACCCACTATAATTGACCTGACTTTCCAGTTGATGAAATGTGAAATATCTTTTTGACACCTACTTGTGTAAGGTTAAACTTTTGGGCTTTTAGTGATTATTACCCTTAAAAAGAGAATAAGTATATGATTTTCAGTTGAGAGAAATGACATTCTTAGATCAGTCTCTGTCCTAGGCTGTGATTCTTACACTATTTTTTTATCACCTCAGTGCTCGTGGTCCACCTCCTCACAATGTACGAGGCCAGGGCCTCTACCCAGCTCCCAGGTCGCTCCCAGAGAGCGGAGAAGACAGTTTAGTCCAGGCCATTCTCAACCTGGACAGAGGGTACGAGTCAAATTACACATTTCTATAGTTAGAGTTATTGCATGGGGCAGGGCGTGGCAAAACATGTTAATTGTGTATTAATTATAGTTATATTAAAATATACATTTTTGACTGGACTTCTTTAATATTGATATTTTTGAAGTTTGTGTTGCTATTTGCATTTTGTGACTGCAAGCCTATTTGTTTCGCAGTAGAAGGTGTCATCTCATTTTAAGGACACTAGAGGGCAGCATTGTACTTTGTTTACACTTTTTGTTTACACGTTCTGAATCAGTGTAATACAAAGAGGAAATAAGTCAGGCTGACGTTCTGAATCAGTGTAATACAAAGAGGCTTAGTATTTTATTTTAAAAAAAATGTGACACTCGTGACAACACCGTGTTTGTGAACTACTAAGACTATGACTGGTTTTATGTTTTTTGTATATTTTTAGGGAGGACAGAGACCATTACAGGAGAAAAGCCGGCCCCTTCCCTTCCCTCAGGGAACGTTCTCCGGTCCGCCGTGAGGCAGCCCGTTCCCCTCACAGCCGCTCGGGCTCCAGCGTTAGCAGCAGAGGCTACTCACCAGACAGAACCAAGCCACTGCCATTCCCCTCGCAGCAAAGCAAGAGTATGTAGCGCTCACTTCCTGTCACCTGGTGCAGCATGGAGCGTTTATTTAGCATAGTTTACATTTCTGAACCACACTGCGGCTAAATCACGTCACTGTCTGTCCATCTTTTTAAAATGTAACACAGGTGCAGATGGTCCTGATGGTCACACGGGAGTTACTGATCACCTCTGGGGGTCGCTGTTTGCTCAGCAAAGCGGACATGACACTTTGGGTCTGTACTTTTGAGCATGTGACCAAAAATCCTATTTTTGAGTGTAAAAAAAAAATCTTTCTTTTCTCACACGTCACTCTGCATCTCTGTCATGTCAACCTTTTACATCTTGGAGTTGTTTGTCACAGGATTTGAGAGTAACAAAAACAAAGGGATGGAATTAAAAAGGCTTTTTTTTTTAAAATATCTAACTTCCGGTGATTTGCTACATAAAGATTTTGTGGATGCGTAGTGGAGACAACATATATATATTTATATAATATATTATATATATTTCTATTGTTTTACTACTACATGGTGCATTGAGTAATAATTTGAATAGTTTAATTGTATAAACCAGTGGTTTATCTGCACATTTACTAATGCTAACCAAAGACAAATATGTTGCTATTTAGTTAAATAATTAGTCAAAAAGTTTCCAGAAATCATAGTAAGTTATTTAAAAAAAATACCCCCTGTTTCAGTGCACTTAAAAAAGTAAGTGTCTCTTTGTTTTCTGCACTCTCCGTCTCTAAAATTGATAACATCTCTTTGTTTTCTGCACTCTCCGTCTCTTCGTATAATGTTGCATTAAATCCATTCAAGCTTCCATTTTTTTTAATCTTTCTAACTATTCTAATAACTTGATATCAAAATTTGTTGGTTCTTGTGTTTTAAGTCAATCATATACTGTATCCATTGGTTGTTCTTAAACTGCTGTAGTCAGATCAGTTAGCACACCACCAGCTAGCTAATGGCTACTGACTTCATGCTATGGTCTTCCTGCAGGCTATGAAGACACGTATTCACAGAGCAAGATGACGGGTGAGTGCCCTTACAAGAAGTCAATCACGTCAGGGTGACATGACATGTGCTTGATTTGTTTGGGAAACATACAAAGGTTAGCATCGTTAAACTTAAACCTATTCCGGGTCTTCGTAACCCGAGAGAGACGGAGAGCATTTCTAATGTGTCCTGCAGCCGGCCTTCCTCCCCACTTCGTCTGTCACTTTGTCAGGCCTCATAAAAATGCCACCAGGTCGTGTGTGGATGAGGAGGGTGACGGTATAGGGTGTCTGATGGATATTCCTGAAGCAATAATACTGGCATCATGATGGTTTTTTTTATATATTCAATGTAAGGCTGCAGTTTTACAGACCCCGGTTATTAACACTCTTGTCCAACTCTTCAGACAAAATTCCTGGCCTCTCCAGAGAAGGCTCACCACACAGTGCAACATCTATCAAGGTGAGTTCCAGCATGTCAAATAATGATCAGCATCATTCAATCACTGTACAACAGAAAGCCTCATTTTCTGTTGCCTTTGATCACAACAAGTCGTTTGTTCCAACCACCTGCTGTGATGCTTGTTCTGTACCACACACCAATCTGTCACCGCACAGCCGTTTGCACCTGGAACGTCTTAAATTCTATCCCTCTAATAAACATCAAGTCCCATGGAAGAGTCTTAATGGGTTTTAAAGTACCACTTGTACACAGCACGAAAGCCCCGTCCTGGACTTTGTTTTACTTTAACCTCAGTCACATGACACATCATGATGTACTAATAGCCTGTAATGTTTTTGATTTTTTTTTTTTTACATTTTGAACATTATCTAAAAGTAAATTTCCTTGGTCCTTTGTTAAATATTTGTAGAAAGTGTTAATATTTGTGTCAGCTCGTAACTTGTTTGCTTGTCTAATAACTACGATCTTTGTCACTGACCCAAGAAAAGTCCCTGTTGAAAACAGTTCAGAACAACTGGGTTGTTTAAATATGCAATTTGTTTTTTATAGTCAACACATTTTCTTAATTCCAGACAATTAATCATGGAATTAAACTGAATAGCTTTTTTTTTGCTGTTGGCAAGCAAGCTTAACAAGCCTAATACTTGTATACTGTGTTATAGCCCATTTTAATATGGTGTTGCTGACTAGCCGTTAAATCCTCTCTGTCTGATCAAGCTGCTTGGGCACCAATGCTTTATTGAACACAGAAAACAACAAGCTGCTTTAATGCCTTTTTGTCCGCACAAAAAAGATGCTTTGCAGTTACTGCCTGAGCAGACAAGCAATCCAAAACATTATCAATGTTAATTAACCAACAAAACAACAAAATTCCTTTAAAGAAAGTGAAACTGAATAGAAACGTTTCTCTACGTTTTCCCGTTGATTTTTAGTGGTTATAGTTACTTTTAGTCAGTTCTTTGTGGTTAAAAAAACCCCAAACAAAACCATTAAGTAATTAAGTGATTTTATAGCACACAACGGTTACAATCACATCTCTTTTAAAAAAAAAAAAAAAATTCCATCCTCATCATTTGTGTGTTGTAACGTCTTTACAAGCTGCATGGAGTCACTTTGATCAAACAGCCAATAAAACTAAATGTTCCCTTAATGTCCCTAAAGTCCCATTAGTTATCTCATTACCAGCCCTCAGATCTTTGTGATGACTTTGTTTGGTCATTACATGTTTCTTTTTTGCCGATTTTATTTCAAATGCATCAGTGGGAGCTCGTGAATGTCTAACGCATGAGAAATTACAAGGTGTGTCTCAGAAACGAACCTTTCTTCTGCATTTTCCTTTCTGAGATCCACCCACCTCCACCCCATCAACTGCTGTGATCAAAGATTTCAACAAAGTGCTCCACCCTGCACTCACACACACACACACACACACACACACTGCTGCTGTTTGATCTAGCCTGTGGTGCATTATTGTTCTCTGCTCTTGGGGGCACAAACCCATAACCTTGGCCGAGATGAAAGTGTTAGTGCTGTGCCCCCTGCACTAATGGCCCCTGTTGCTGCCTGCTGCTGAGATTCAACAAACAAAGACAGGCTCTCTGGAGCCACACCAAGACAGAACCTAAAGAGCAGCAGCCCTAGTTGTAGGTCTGGCTTTGACTGTGACCCGGGGTGGTTCAGAGGGGAGAGAAGGTCTGTCCCAAAAAAAATATGAAAAGGTCACTTGAGGGGTTTCTTGTCAGGAGGTAAAGAAAAAAAGTCTCAAAAGTTTTACTCTTGACAATCCAAGAAAAACAACCAATTCTCTTTCCTTTTCTGTACAACTTGTCTGTATCTGTGGTTCATGTTTGGAGTTAAAAGTAAAAAAAAAGACACTGAAGACTGACATGCACACACACACACATACACCGTTTGAAATTTTTACCTACGTCTCCATTAAAAACTAAATTGCTGCAGGCGAGGAATCTGAAGGAGGAATAATTGGATGCTGCCTTCACGGGTCCTCCCTCTTTATTTTAGACCACACTCGATGTTCAGTTAAAACATCTCCTGTAATTTCTTACCCATCATCATCTACCATCATATGCCTCTGATATGTGTAATACTGGCACGTTTGCCTCAATGTTTAGGTGGAGTGGCATCAGTACCACGGTATAGTAACAGTATAGAATTATTGGTTGTATTTTTTCATCATCCCATCTTAAAAAAAAGACCACCATGGATATTTTTGAAGTTTATGTTTATATGTCTTTTATTTTTTGTAATTTTTTTTTACCTCCAACCTTAGGAAGAGAGCCATCCTTCAGAAGCAGAAAAATGCGAGGTACCGGTGGCTTCTCAGGTAGCGCCTGTGGTCGCTCCTGTTGTACCTCCTTCAGTCGTTCCTGGTCTAACGGCCGCGATGGAGAAGACCCAGAGGCCGACGGAAAACCTTCAGGAACGACGGGCCCAGGCCATCGCAGCTAAAGCCCAGGAGATAGAGAAGGTGATTTTTTTTTTCTCACTCTTGAGATGATATTCTACGTAGCTTGGTCGTAAAGTCATTTGACTAAATTATTCCATTGAGATAAAGATATAATGAGTTCAATGAATGTCTTAAAAATCGATTATTCCATTGAGATAAAGAAATGAGTTCAATGAATGTCTTAAAAATCATCATATTAACCACACAAATCATAAGTCTCAGCCCAACACTGCTGTTTTACATTTGATGACTTTAAAAAGACCCATAATCAGAGCCATTCCAGTGACATAAACAAGCACAAAGAACAAACAGCAGAGAGCTTAAAAATCAATGCAATAATGTTTTTCATTTTTTGTATAAATCAAGTAAACGGAACTAACATGAACACCATCCAATACAGAAAAATAAATAAACTAGCTTTTCAACCACTGCATTTATGTACACTCAAATCATCTTTCTTCCCCATGACTCGTCCCTAATAAACTGGCCTTCATTGTATGTCACATGCAACACCCAAACATGCAACACCCGAACATGCAACACCCTAACATGCAACACCCTAACATGCAACACCCTAACCCTAATGTTGGAATACAAATAATATAATATAATACGCCACAAAAATCACAAAACAATGTTTTCTACTATTCTCCAATGGCTACTTTTATAGTTTTCATATTACAAGTCGGTCATTTGTAAAACTTCCTCATAACTGTCATCATCACATTCCATGAAAACCACTCCACGTCCAGCACATGATGCCTCACAGTTGGTGGCTTTGGGGTTGTTTTTTTTTTTCTTTCTTGCACAACAAAAAAAAGGATAACAGTCGGCCATTATGTAACAATTCAACCAGCAAATGACTTTTTCCGTCCACCAATCACAGCAGCTAGTGCGTCCTAAAATGCACCAGTCACTTCCACAGACACTGGTTTCAGACCAGTGCAGTCATCAAGCCAGAGCGGCTGCCAGGTTTAAACAGCATCTTGCTGGTTTCCTGGTTCCTCTTGTTAATCTCCCATCCTGACTCCACGACTGCAAGAAGTACTCATTAGACTCTGTACATGCACTCACACACAAACATTTGGAACTTATATATATATACACATAAACACATAAAAGAAAAACAGAAACACAAGTGCAGCTCGGGCAGATTATACGTTTGCACATACAATAAATTGGTAGGTGAACCGTTTCACTGAGCCAAAAGCACCCGAGGCCCTGGGTTCCAGCGCTGCTCCGTTATCTAATGAAGGCAATTCCTGCACCAGTGAGCCTTACCACTGCTTTACTGGGGCCATTAAACCTGAGCCAGCGCTGTCCCGGAGTGCACACTGAGCTCACACATTGAGCTGCGCCGCAGAGCCCACGGGCTGCTATAACACTGCTGCTGACGCTGCAGCCTCTGGCTGGTTTTATGGCCTGTCTATTCCTCTCCCATCTGTGTCTCCTGGTTCATTTTTACGAGTCAAACTCTCACATCCAAGCTCCATTGTTTGAGCTTTTGAGAGCTATTGTCAGGAATTCATTAAGATAAGCCTCATTAATGATGTCATTTTTTTTTTTTTTTATTGCTCTAATCCTTAATTCTTGTGGCAACCGTGATGAACCGTGAAGAATGGTGTTGAAGTTTCTCGTTTCCATTCTACCATTCTTGATTGTATTAATTTTTATATATATATATATATAAACTGTTTCCTTAGTTGTACAGTTCTTGTAAAAACCCGTGTGAATGTTGTTTGTGGCTGAAAGACCGGAACATCGAGTCACGACTTTGTGTGAGAACTCTCTTAAAAACCGGATCAGAAATAGAAATAACTACAACTTAATTTTGGCCAGCGTCTGTCTTTTTACAGTACAAGTCTAGGAAAGCAGCAGCATTTCTTTCATCTGTATAATTTAAAACCCAAAAGGCTCCGCATTAACATGGTTGGTTACCGACCTAAGTGTTCGAGACATTTGCCCTTAAGACTTTATAACTACCGCGTGAGATCTAAATGTCCAGAATGCAGAGCGATTTCTCTGAAGTCCAACTTTTCTTTTGCCAGTCCAAGCAACTTTTTGACTGCGTGCTCTGCCAAGTCACTGCTGCGTCTCAGTTGCATTCGGGCATCTGTGTTTAACTGCTCATCAAGTGTCGGCCAGATGTTTAGCTCTCGGCACCCAATCTAGTCTAGCCATCTTGTCCACAGGGGCACAAACACACTCCTGTCCAGTAGCTACTTCTGGATGTCTTATAAAATGTCAGACGCTGGACTCAGGTTCCTTTGCCAGATCACTGTTTAGGTGTGTGTGTGTGTGTGTGTGTTTGTGGTTTAGAGAAATTCAACCAGAACCATCCAGTGTCTCTATCACAGTTGGTTTTGGCTGCCGTGCTGGTTCTTAAGGGGTAAAAATGCATGAGTGTTGATTCATTTCACTTATTTTTGTCAGGGCCACATCGCTTGGAAAAGTGTAACAAATTGTTTTCCATCAATTAACGAGAGGCCGGGGCCGTGGTCTCATTTGCCCTGCCGTCAGTTTAAGGCTGATTATTAGTCGTCGTCTTGTCTGTGACATTTTTACTTTGGCAAAAAAAAAAGAAAAAGAACGTCTGGCTCGTCGGTATTGTGCATTTTTGAGTGTGTAATAATAGAAATGTACAAACTGCAAAATAATATGATCAGAAGCATGTGTGTGTGTTTATACATTGTATAGCACTTCAACTGTTAGGTTTATGTTTAACATTTATTTAAATTTAGTATTTCTTTAGTAGAGTCAAATGATTAAATTTTTTAAATCTGATTAATCACAGGACAGCTGTAGATTAATGATTAGTTACAATCAATTACTCATGATTAATTGAGATAACACAGAGTTTCTCTAAGTCTTTATTGTGTTTTGGTATGGCGCTCCATTCTTGAACACCTTAGACAACCGTACAAAAACAACAAACATTATATCCTAATATAATCCCAGGTTGGGTTTTGCCAGGACGGGCATTTGGTGTATGTTTAATTCTGCAAAGTAAGTTGGTTATATAATAGTGAATTTAAAATATATCTCATTTAAAATTTGTATTGATTTATGCATTGACATGATTATAATATATTCATAAAGATATTATAATAATTTAATAGTCAAATACTAAATTTCTAATGCAAGTGATTAATCTTATCCAGGCTTTAATCTTGTGATTAATCTACACCAACTTTAATGGCGAAAGTATTTACAAAAACAGACAGTTCTTGACCAACCTCCACCCACATGTCAAGAACTGGTCCTTCCCTTCCTTCTGGTTGGATGATGAGGGTGGGATTTCAGGAAGCGCAGTCGAGTGCAGGATGTATATTTTCAGCACTTTGTTATCTAAGAACTTCCCCCCTTGAAGCCAGCGTCAGCACATGTGATTAGAAACGTCCTCCATCACAACAGTTGAACATCATGTACTGTAATCAGCTGTTGAAACTCCACCTATGCCTTTGTTACTGAGCGAAAATCAAATGTACGTGATGTTTGAACTGTTTCCGACTGTAGTGTAACACATTTTCTTTTGTACGCGAGGAACGTATAGGAACGCCCAGAGGCGGGGCCGTCTGTGGTGATTCCTGTAATTGTTAAATACCTGACGGTTGCCCTGCAATCGAACAAAAATGATGGTGCAGATGCTTCAGAGTAGTATTTGTGTAACTCTTGAAATTGTTATATAAGAAACTGCATGCTTACATATGTTTACGCAACACTTTACTGCTGATCCAGTTTACACCAGATCTTAACTTGTGATTTCTTAGTAGCTCAGTCCGAGCTCTTCTTTCTAGGAACTCAGTGAAATGATATAAATAAAAGGTCAGTGAATTACAACACCCGACGGGCCAAAGACTACAGTTTGTATCCAGGAAATGCTGAAACTCAGCCTTGCTCAGCTAACTTCATGAACCCGTAGTGCACGGGTCCACACACACACACACACACACACACATACACACACAAATGTTCATATCAGTCTGCAGTCCTTGTGCGTTTGCCTATGGGACCTAGACTCAGTGCCACATCCAATAAACAGTGTTGGAAGTCAACTCTCTTCGCTGGCCTTGCGTAAGTGAACTGAAGTAATGAATGTTATGACACCATAAATTATGAAGGTAAGTTCAGGTGCAGTGACCATGACAAAGTATTGCTGGCGGGGGGAGGGGGGAATCCATAAAGAAACATTAAAAAGATTACTATATTTTCTTTTTCTTTAGTTAAAACTAAATTATCCATTAGAGATTATACTTAAAAACTGACTCTAATCAAGACACTCGACATGAATACATGATGCAATAACCTACCCAGTGGAAATCAGTGCTTCTTTTGATACACTGTAGTATCAAATTTTCCTGCGAAGATGGACTGATTAGCTTGCTTGCCAACAGCAAAATTCCATACCAGCAGTGTGTCAAAATGAGTTGCTACTATGCTTTTTCTAACACAGTGACCAACTTAACTTTCACATTTTCCGAGGTACAGGACAAATGATAATTATAATAAAAAACGCTGCTTCCTGAAACCCGTTGTGTTTAGCAGGGATACCTTCAGGACTTGTCATTATGCACAATAGTCTGTCTTGAAGTAATGGAGTATTATTAGTAGGGTTCATTTCGGTCGGTCATCAGTCTCCAAATACGTATATTTGCTCTTTGGATGAAAGAACCTGACACAGAAGTATGGGATCATGTATTCAGATTACTTTACTGTAGAGGAACTGTCAGCTTTAACATCATATTCAGTCAAGCCTATTTTGGTGTTCGGCCAATCAAATGACTCTTTGGAGAGGCGGCTGTTCCCTCCAATTTTAGGGGACATTTAAGACTGGGTGTGAAATGGCATCTCCCTAACAAGAACTCCAACACCTCTTCCTCATTGTCCCACAAACACCTCTTATGCCTCTGGGGCTCTACTGAAGTGAGGCCTTTATGGCATTTGTCCTATATAAAGGACCCTGTTAAACTTGAGAGGAGTAGTGTTAATCGTTTGACGCTACATGATGTGTGTTAACGCCACAGTGCTCGGGATCAGTGTCACTGGGGTATTGACACCAAGGCGACAGGTGGAACAGGAAGGAAGAAGTTTTTCATCACCTCAATTAAGACCTTCTCCTTTTGGAGCTCATAACCTTCAGCCTGTCGACACATAAATCTACATAACAGTGGTTGTAAATGTGTCTCTTGTCTTTTTTTGTAAAGCTAAGCTCTCACTCATTTGTCCATGTCCTGTCTACGCTCAGATGTACCGCCAGGACTGCGAGACGTTTGGCATTGTAGTGAAGATGCTGGTTGCGAAAGACCCAAACCTGGAGAAGCAACTGCAGGTTCCCCTCAGGGAGAACCTTGGAGAGATTCGTGAGCGATGCCTTGAGGAACTGAAACTCTTCATTAACCAGTTGGACAGTGTGGTCCGACAACCAGAAACCTCCATCTGTGACTCAAACACTCCGTCAACGTCGTCACTCACGGGTCATAAACTTTCAAAAACTACGGTGAATCACAGATCCTCATACTGACACGCTGGACTTTTTCCGATTTCGCTTAAATTAGACGGATTGAGGATAAGTTGACTGCTAGCCATACTGGACTTGTTGGATATACTCTGGAAGCTGCATTGAAGACATTTTGACCGGATTCTCATCTGAGACAGACACAGCTGTGCATCTGGATTAGTTAATTAATTTGGAATGGCTCAGTGTTAAGTGTTGACCAGAACATTTTTACTACTAAGTTCTCCTGTTGAGTCTACTAAAGTCTGTCAAATGTCATTTTTGTTAATTTAAAAAAAGGAGGTGCACCTTTTACCCCTCAGTTGAAATGGTTAACATGGTTTAACATTTTTTATCCTATTTTCTTTTTAATAAGAATGGAAGTCTTCTTTTTTGTAGTATATTTACGGCAATGTATTACTTTATAAATTATAAGGCAGTCAGACGTTAAGCGCTGCTAACTTTGTAACAGTTCATCTTTACTGTATATATTTGTACTGTTTAACAAGGGCCCATGTTTTGTCTTTTGACTTTTCAAAGTGTTTATCTCTCATAAAATCATGAAACGTCAAGTGTTATTTTTCTTTTGCACAAACACTCCGGAATCTGTAGTTAAATTATTTCCGATGTCAACATTTTATGTTACCAATTAATACAATTTGACGATATATATTTCATATATCATATACAGTGGAACCTTGGTTCTCAAACTTAATTTGTTCCTGAAGTCACTTTGTGAACACAAAAGTTCAAAAACTGAAGCCATTTCTCCCATAGGAATCAATGTAAAATGGATTAATCTGTTCCTGGACCCCAGATGACTGCTTATTCTAACCTTTTCAACGATATTTTGTGTACCGGTTCATACATGACACCAACTAAAAAATAATTTGATCTAACAAAAAAAGATAAACACCACTTAATACAGAATAAAGCTATAAAAAGGAAAGGCAATTTCATTCATATTTACTGGTGCTGACGAGTCGTGATAACACAATGTTCAATTCACATTCTCACAAATTGTCTCCGGAATACTGTCGCCAACCAACTGCTTTTCACTGATACAAATCAGTAGCAACTTTTCCACTTCTTCTAATGTCTGGGATCTTTGCTTGGTGATCACAGTCACTCCTTTGGCAACTTTTATCTTCTTTTATTACTTACTTGTTCTTAATGATGGTACAAGTCAAATCGACTTTGCCAAGCCATACTGTAAAGCTATAGCTGAAACATGAACACCATTCTCATGCTTTCATTTAATCTCTTTCTTCACTTCTATTGCTAACAGTTCATAGTGTGTATCCCGAACGTGGGCTTAAGCAAGACTAACACCACACTCTCAATCACTCAGTGAGCACTTGCTGCCCACGTGATATTGTTGGCTTGTTAGACAACCGAGTTATTATACCTCAACTGGGGCAAGATTTGGTTTGTAAACCAAATTGTTTCGAAAAGGGAGGCGTTCGAAAACCGAGGTTCCACTGTATATATTTCTATATTTGCGTATCAATACTTTTTATTGATTATTTTGCCTGTTAACAGTTTGGATTGCATGCTATTACACAGATAATGCTTAAGATGATGAATGAAGAATTGATATCTAAAAGAACATTTAAAGTCACAAATTTATAATATAAAAAAATTCAGCAAACCTAAAGATTTTCAAGCTTTGAAAAATATTTTATTACGAACTTCTTTACATCACAAACAATCAGTCGGTTATGTCTGAGCAAGAGTATTGAAGTATTGAAGAGTTGAACATAAAAAACAATTCTACCATGAGTGACTACTGTGGGATTTACACAAGTTGACAAGTTGTGGCAGAGTTATATTGGCACTTGACAGTGTTTGTGAAGTGGCACCATCTTTAATTCTTAGTTTCAGGTCGGTTTGTTTACCATTTTTTGTATACATCATACACATCAAAAGAAATAATTCTTATTACACGAATATAAAAAATACCAGTATTAAATTCTTAACTTAGTATATACATTATCATTTTGAACTGTAATGCTTTAAATTATTATTTGGTTAGCTTTCTATTTTCTACTTTACCAAAACTCGTCTACAACAGCCTCGCCGTTTTAACACACAAAATTACATTGCTGCAAAACATCTGTGGCCATTTTCAAAACGACTTGAAAAGAAATGCTGAAAATAAAAGAAATGTTTGAAGTTTGCAAATTGCGCTGGCTTAGGAAAGTCTACCAACATACTAGGTCACGCTTCAGTTTGGTGCTAAAATTCCTCCGGCTTTGTTCTCTTACTTTTATCTTGACACAAAGTGACGTATCTTGACCACAAAACCATGTTTATGCAAGTTATACATCAGACATTTAACATGAGGAAATTCTTCCTATTTTGTAGTGCAGATTTCAATGTCCGTGCACTCCTAACCGTTAGGAGATGATGCAGTTTTTGGAACGGTGACCCTTTCTGCGGCCAGTCTTCGAGCCGTGAATCTGACAAGAGAGGGCTGTCACCCTTGTGGGTAAATCCTCCGCATAGTAACGGCCAACCATTCGGGGCTGAGGGATTGGCTGACCCAAAAAGAAGCCTTCCTCCTCTGAGTCCGATGATGAAGATGAACAAGTAGAGCACCAGTCTTCATCGTCTCTATAGAGTCCCATGAAGTGCTCCACCTGTTGGTCTCCTTGTGTTGCGCCTAGCATATAGTCTGATCGGGTTTGCGGATAGGCCTTGGGCAGCCTTTGAGAGGGATGCTGTGGAAGAACGGCACCGCTCTGTGGATTGACCAACCCCTGCTGGTGGTGCTCATATAGCCTCTGTGATTTGTCTAATGGAACCATGTGAAGGGCATTGTCCGAACGGGTTTTGCGACTCCTGTGGTGTCGACCTTGCTTGCGGTTGTGCTGCTTGCTTCGCCCATGATGACTTGATGGGCGATTCCTCTCTGGGCCCCTTTCATCAGGGTAATAAATCCTTCTCTGTGGCTTCTCACTCATTGGATGCTTCCTAATACTGACATCATAACCATCATTGTAGCCATTGTCCACAGTGTCATCTGAGAACTTGACCACCTGTGGAGGCCTGGATTGGGACTTGCTCCTCCTCAAAGCTGGTGCATGGACAAAAGAGGAAGGAAGTCCTTCAGAATGTGGGGACAATGGCATCCGGCCTCCTGATGCAGCTCCCCTTATTGCTAATGCAACTTCCTCCTCGTCTTCCTTCTCAATATTTAGGTTCAGAGAGTTGGTACTGTGGTGATGATGAGATGAATTGAAGGTCCCCATGTTGCTCATCTTCTCACAGTCCTCTGGCACAGACGGATCCTGCACTGAAAGTGTGTACACTACAGGTCTGTCTCTGCCATCTCCATCCACAGAGGCACCTAGCAAGAATAAACAAAGAAGGAACATGTTTGATGTTTGCACACTACACTGCAGTATTGACTGAAAATATCAACAACTTTGTCCTTACCGGTTATGTTGGATAGTGCTAAAGAGTCCATTGAGTCTCCAACACCCTGCTCAACCTTTCTTAGCTCGTCAGCAATGCACTCGAGGGAATCCTCGTACCACTGCCTGGTCTCTGTCCAGAAGGGCTGTCCTCCAGTGCCAGGTTGGTCCTGATCCAACTCCAGCTCTTGAATTTTTCTGGCACTTGCAGGACCTGGATGACTACCATAAGCAGAATCCCCCATTCCATCCTGGGACTGAGCCCAGTACATTTCAGGCAGGTGTTTCTTACTTATCAATCCAGGACTAAGGCTGTTTGCCCGGGACTGATTGGAAGTCTGGCTCTGAGTGGGACTGGCAGGGGTTGGAGAGGAGGCTTTGACGCCCATGGATGTCATTTCAGGCTTCAGCCAGGGATCAGAGAGACTTATCAAACGGTCATTGCTAGGGATTGGTGATTTGAGAGATGGCTGCTGGAGTTGATGTAACATGCCCCGATCTCCAAACTTGAGCAGGAGTTGAGTCATATAGTCCTCATGTTGGGCCCACTCCTCTGGGTTCTCATCTCCACAGGCATCCTGCTCCTCTCGTTCTCTCCAGAATCTATCTTCTATGCCAAGATGAGCCAACTTACGTCCTACAATATCAACTTCAGCATCTCTATCAGCCTCACTATTCCTCAACTTGTAGTCAAATGATGGTGCAGTCGCAGGGGGATTAAACACCTGTGAGTGTCTCAGCTG